CTTTTCTAGGAAGAAAGTGTGGGCTTTGAGAATATTGAGATTTCAAACCTACAGATGAAGGTTGAGAAAAGCTGCTTCTTACACAATGTAACCTTGGTTCCTACTAGAGATTTAAAGGAAATTAGGGTTTAATGCATTTTAAATGGGTCTTATTTTATAATTACTTCAGGGAAAGATTTTAATAGTAATGTGAAGTGGGCCTGGATTTTGAGAGACTAGATGTGCTGTAGGAAATGACCTGCTGCTGAATGGGGAGGCATTCTAAGGCAATAAAAAGACTCACTAAAAGGGACCTGAGAAGAGTCATATCTAATAGTATTCCTCAATTATTAGGCTATATCTCTTTTGTGCTATCTCTGAACTTTAATAAAGATTTGTTAAAAAGATTTATGTAGTTAGTGATATACAAAATTAGAGTCAGATCCTAGGGTTGAGAAAGCAACTATGCAGAGAAAATCAGGGATTTATTAATGAACTTTCCTATTAACAGAGTAATATTTTATCCTATTGTTAAGTAAAACATCCAATGAATACCCTGGTCCAAGAAGTGGTGTTTATTTGATCCATGGCTGAATGTAAGGATTGCTGGAGATACGCTTTGCTCAAGACACTTGAGTAGGAAAATTATACATTTTGACTAGTGCCTACTTCAGAGCATCAGTGTTTAGCCAAATTATTTTGCCTGAAAATTTCATCATTTGCTCTGCCTGCTTTAAATGATTTGAGTTTGAATGTTGTTATTGAAGAAAAATGCAAGCATCATGGAGCCTGAGTTTATTTCATAAAGTTGACTAGAACTTTGGAAGAAGCATGTAGGCCAAATCAATTGCCCAGCCTGAATCTGACAACAGAAGTTTAATACCAAATGTTCTGGTAGTTCTAAAAACTAGCAACCTCTATATAATTAATGGAAATGAACTAAACTGTCCAAAATAAAAAGCAAAATTTCTGTAAAAAGGGATATCTAATAATACACCATTGTACTTTCCATGATTTGGGCACATTTGACATCTATTGATTTACCAAGACTCTGAGCATGCCTACTAACAGTCAATGAAACAACTTTCCAATGATAGGGTAGGTAACTGTCGGGAGTAATTCATAAAAACAACGGGTGAATTTTAATGAACTATCAGACTTTGATGCCTCTAAGGTTAAAAATGTTTTAAATAGTGCAATTATACAGAGTTTATTCACATCACTTCAGGATACCTTGTGAAGTTCCAAAACAATCTTCTAACCAGAAAATAAACATTTATAAATTACTGTAAAATAAAGATAATTATCAAATGAGTGTTATGAGAAAATTCACTCTAATGACACGAGGCTATCTTTAACCTTGGGCACTGTTGCAATTTTTGAGCTAAGGAGACTTCAGTAGGCAATTCTGTTATTAAGCCACTCATCTTAAAACCACACACATTTTGTCAGTATAAAAGGTGGCATGAATTTGGTACTTGTCATTAGGATGTTAAAAAACTCCTAAATTATAATAATCTTTCCCCCAAACAGCAAACCCTACATGGAAGGTTTTATACAAAAACTGATAAATATCTACATTGCAGTTATTAGCAAGAAAAATGGAAAGAAAGAAGAAAAGCAACCAAATGTTCATTTGTTTTTCTTGGTGGACTTTATGCTTTAAAAAATGTGGAAATGTGCCATGTTCCCAAAATATAAATGGTAGATGGCACCACCTGTAGCTATCTTTTGCTATCAGAGGGATTAATGGTTTTCTGGATAATTTAGAAGGTCTTTCTTAACTTGTCTTTCTTCTTATATTTCCCAGAATACTGAGTTGTATAACATCTTCAAAGAAAATTTTTGATTAATAATCTAAACTAAATTCTAGGATAATTCTATTTCTACTATTTTGGTTAGGAAACTGTTCATATTAGGTTATTTGATAAAAGCATGATTAAACAGATTCATGTTTATCACAATTTGCTTATTTTAGAATTATCATACTTTATTTTACAATTGAAGTAATTTCTGATTCAATCTTCCAGATGCTTAAGGGATTAGAATACACATTTGTGTCTAAGATTTAATTTGTATTAGATTTAATTTTAGTGATCCAACAAAAGATAACTCTTGGATGAGACAAGAATTATTTCTGAAAAGTGCTGTGTTCTTTAAGATCTTTCCCTCTCAGCCTCCCCATTCTCTTGGCTCCTTACAGGTGACAATTAGTAATTAGAGGTTTTTGGTTTTACCACTTAATAGCTATGCCATCGTGGGCAACTCTCTTAACTTTTCTAAGTCTTACTTCTCTCATAAAAATCTGCCTGATTATCTCACAAAAATATTAAGTGGATAAAATGAGATAATGTATATGAAGTGCTCATAAATTATAAGGCTGCTAATAAACATAAGGTATTATTTTTAACTTGGAATAATATAGTAAGCAAAAATGTGATATTCCAAGTATGCGTTTATAACAGGTTATCATCATCAACAAAGTTAATACAATTTTTATTGGGAATATTATCATGGACTCTAAACAATCTTCAATAACTTAACCAAAACTTTTCTTTAGAACTACCTAGTAATTATATAGCAAATTTAGTTACAGGGTTGTTATCAATATATTGACTAATATCTTAATACTATTTCCCAGTTGTAGACTCTGTAGTTCTTAAGTATATGATTCTATGATTTTATGTTTATAACATAGGGAAACAGGCTTATACCTAAATATAATTCTATTTATATAGCTGTATCAGTGGCTAAAACAGAAACCATAATGTTTCAAGGGTTGAAGTAATAGAGGAGTTCGGGCCTTTCTCTTATGGCTTAATCCCTTCTAGACTATATATATCTTTTTTATCTCAGTATAATGTTACATTCATTTTGTAATATATTAATAGGGTAACCTATTAATTTTCCTGGGACAGTTTAGGTTTCTGCCTATAGTATTATTAGAGTTTCATTTTTGAAAAATAGTCTTTGAATAGAATGATTTTATAGGTTTATTAATAAGATAAACTTCTTTGTTGGTCAATAGTATATATTTCAAGAGTTAGTTTAATTATTTTTGGTGCCCCCTTTCAGTCTCAAGTATCCTGATTTGAATGGTAAATATATAATTTCTGCAAGAAGAACTTGGAGCAGAGATCAGCAAAGTAAAGAACTTTCTGACTACTATAAGGAGCAGCAGTCAAAGCAGAACTTGCTATGATTGATAAACACCAAAGGAATCTGTCTACAGGTAAGTAGCCTTGATTTCTATAAAGAAAATCATATCTAGTCTGTCTGCTGTTTATCAGTGAAGGTGGGAGTGAGATTCAAGAAGTATGTGCTGGAGAACAAGGACTCCTAACTCTGAATCCAAATACTCATATTTCAGGCACTAGTATTCCTATTGGAACTTGGCAGGTCTCCTCTGAGAAAAGATGTAGTTACATTCTTACACACGACCCTACTCAGACACATAAGCTTGCCTTACTATAATATAACAAACTGTACTTTACTAACAATAGATACAAGATTCTCTTGGAACTGCATGATCTGAGACTAAATCATGTCAGTGAAAACTATACCTTTAACCTAGTGTATGAAGATGTTTAGTTTGAAGGATGTTTAATAAAAAAAGTAGATGAACTAGATGATTTTTATGAAGAAATGATCATTAGAATAAATTTTGGATATTTTCCCCAAACAATTCAACATTTAGAAAAAAATAAGGAAAGCTAAATTCTGTGTAATGGGCATGCAAAGTGTAAGCAAAGGTGACGAGTTAGGAAGTTACTCTCAAGAGGCAAGTAAGTGGATTAAGTGCTCTCAGGATAGTGCGATTAAAAGAAGACCTAACATCAGTGGTTAGTAATTTCTACTTACAAAACAAAAATTTTTGAAATTTCATTGTGGAATTTATCTATTTACATTTCTAAAAACTGAAAATAATGAACGTATATAGAATCTTTCTATGCTAGTATATGTTCATATGGCCTATTGGTCTCATGAAACAGTTTGACAAACGTGTTCATTATGGTTTCAAAAGAAACATCCTATTTGGCTCACCAGGAACAACTTGGGGGTCTAGGTCCTGTTATTTCTGTTGCTGCTGCTGAGCACGGAAGACATTTGGGGATGGAAGAGAGAGATTTACTAGGGTAATACCAATACTTACAGACTTACCCCTTCTGTTCTAAATTAGGAAGTCAGTGAAAGAACTGCAAATGTATGTAAGAAGGTTTTTTTTTATACTAGTACAGAAATTTTAGTGATAACCTGTGATTTGCTCTGTAATTTTTGAACAATGGCTTTTCCTCCCTACCTATTTCCCAATTTTATAAGACTTGGTTTTAGAATCAGAATTTAAAGTTTTCCTTTGATGGAAAAATAGTTTTGCTCTTTACAAAAACAACTGTCCTTTAAGAATAACATTAAAAAAAGAATAACATATATAATTGAATATATTGGTAACATATAAGAAAAAAAGGTAAAAGTATTAAAGCATCCCAAGAACAATAAAATACAGTGTAATATTAGCCAATGTTATGTCAGAGGTGAGTCCTCCTTTTATCAGAACAATTCTATTAGGTGATCCATATTATATAAAATTTGAGACCAAATGGCTTCTGTTATAGGAAGGCTGCAGCATTATCTCAAATGTTAGAGAACAATTTTAATATAGTCATAATAATCACATGAAAAGGCAAGAACACTGATCATGTTGATGGTATTTCTAATATTTGGAAAATGTTATCAAAAAGTATAAATACTATGCAAATTTTGAAAACCATGGCAGAAAAAAATTAAAGAGTAGCAGTAACAAAAAATAAAAAATATTAGACAAAAGCTTATTAAATGACCAAATAGCAAAGCAGAACTGAATCAAGAATAAATATGTGCTAAAAAGCATTAAAGTATTAAAATTCTATTACAATTAGATGACTCTTATCCTAAATATTAAAATAGATAGCAACAAATATGCAACATAACTTGTAAAAGGTTGAGAATAACGCAAAGCAGAGAAAAATGAAAGACATCTCACTATTCTCATTGTGGTTATTATTTATGGAATGGATAAAATATGTAGAAAATGTCACAACATTAGATTAACACATTAAAAAAACCAACATGCCACATCTACCTAAATAATTTTGTATAAAAGCTGAAAAAGCAAATTTCATCAAATTTAGACAGTTTATAGTGGAATAAATATGGCGAGGATTAACTAACCCTAAGTTTCACAATGGGCAGCTTCTAGCCGGTTGGTTGAAGCTGGGTCTTGGCCACACAAGGATCATTCGACAAGAAATCAGTTGAGCTGGACTAGAGCTGCCCATTTGTCTTAATAATGAATGCTCCACACTGTCTGTTAAGTAAAGAGAAAGAAAATATGGATCAGAAAGAATGCATGGGAGGCGATAAGTGTAAGTTAGAGTAGGCGAGTGCAGGACATCAATGAACATTTAGTGAATACTTGCAGAACACATGACATTAATTCTATTAGTGTATCATCAAGTGGGAGGCTAGATATTAGGAGGGGCCAGAATTCAGGGGAGGCTTGCTCACTGCTGAGAGCTTGAAACCTATTTATTATCTCTCTATCTCTCTATCATCTATCTATCCATCCATCCATCTATCTATCTATCTATCTAAGCTGGGGACTGACACAAGAGCTTAGGATAGAAGAAGCACCAGGAGAGCGCCCAGGTGGGACTGCTCGGCTCACTAAGTCAGAGCAAAGGGGGCCTTGGAGACAGGTTCAGGGACTTAGTCTGGAACAAGCTGCCGTTGTTCCTGCCTCCTGCAGGAAGAGCACACCCTGGGACCTTCGTTTGAGAGTTGTTTTTTTTTAAATACATGTTTTGATTTCAGAGAGGAAGGGAAACATCAATGATGAGAATTATCGATTGGCTGCCTCCTGCACGCCCGCTACTGGGGACTGAGTCCACAACCCAGGCATATGCCCTTGACCAATATTGAACCTGGGACCCTTCAGTCCGCAGGCCGATGCTCTATCCACTGAGCTAAACTTTCCAGGGCTGTTTTTTTTTTTTTTTTTAATGTGAGCACCTTCCTTCTTTTTTATTTTGTTTGAAACTCATATAGTAACCAGTAGGATAGCCACTCATGTACCAAGAGATTAACATAATTTCCAAAGCATCAGGATCATTAAGAGAATCTGGACCTATAGGAGGTGGAGTGTTTGAAAGTTTTTAAAGGCTGAGAGTTTAGGGGAGAATCTCAATATTCATGTTTTATGCACATGTGCCAAAATGAGATTTATTCCCTTAATTTCGCATCTATCCTTGGGTGTGGTTGGCACATGGCACTAATTTGACTTCTGCTATCTGTCTCCCTAAGTGGGGTGATTTAAGCTATTTACCCTCTGGTTGGGGAGGAGTCTAAACCATTTACTCTTAAGTGTCCTTGGTTAGGGAAGATAGGATTTTGTGTTCACTAGCTGGCTGTAAACTGCTTGGCCATTTAACTCTTTCGCTCAGTTCCCCTATTCTGCTTGTCCCGGCTTACTAACCTGTGTCACCCCAC